GATGCCTTTCACTCTTCTGCATTCTGATGGGTTTGGGGAGTGAGCATTTAGAAAGCTGTGCAAGGGAGTGTGTCCCATTTGTGAATGTCATCTGTCACATGTGGCAATATAGTTGACAGTTGCCCTAAAACACATGCATTCTTCTCCTCAAAGACATAGGCACAATGGGGACCTGGCAAACCTGGGCAGGACCCCCAGTCAGGGTGGGCCAGTTCTAGAATCTTCCTGGGCCCCATATTAGTCCCCTCCCCCTTTCTTGGTTCTGGCTCCTTCCCATTCTCTTGCTTACGATGCCCGTGGGGGTAAAGGGCATGGACGGGAAGGGCCAGCGGGCTGGGAACTTGCCCATGTCAGCAGGGCTTCTTAGGGGTCAAAAGATAATCTGGGCCACTTACATTCTGAGGAGCTCATGGGTGGTTATAAAAGAAAGAAATGCCAAAATTTGTGGTATTTAAAACTGGTTTACATCTATTAAATTAAAGCTTTTTGTACACTACAACGTGGGAGAAGTGCACTATTCACAAGAGAATTGCAAATGTATAAAAATAATTGAATTGGAGTAGCTCCCAGGCAGTGTGGTCTGGTAATGGGACCCAAATGCAGAGTTAGGCAAACATTTCTTTTTTTAAATCCTATCGGTTTCCCTCTGTGACTGTATGTCTGTCACATGTCAAAAATCTAAGTTGTGAATGTGAGGCCTGGGTCAAATCCTGCTACCCTCAGCTCTCTGCCTAGCTGGCCACCTGGAGCTCTGAGGTGCAGGTGGGGTCACGTTTCCTTTTTCCATCTGCCCTACTCCTTTCACTGAGAAAAGAGTGTCTCCAAGCGCAAGTCTCCTCAGCCTCAAGTCTCCAGCCTTGCTCCGGTGGGCAGCTCTGTGCCCTTCAGGACCACTAACTGGGTGCCCCACCCAGAGGCAGCTGCAGCCTGAGCTCTGGGTGCTGCCAGAGCAGGAGTGAGGCCCCTCTTGACCCCCTGCTCCCCCGACCATCTGCTCAAGTTGCTTTCTCTTTCCTCCCTGTGCCCACCCAAAGAAATGAATGCCAAGATGCTCGACTTTGAGACATTCCTGCCCATCCTGCAGCACATCTCCCGCAACAAGGAGCAGGGCACCTACGAGGACTTCGTGGAGGGGCTGCGTGTCTTCGATAAGGAGAGCAACGGCACGGTCATGGGCGCTGAGCTTCGGCATGTCCTTGCCACCCTGGGTATGCCCGCTGGGCAGAGACAAGCCCGAGTCGGGAGGGGCGGAGGGGGGCGGTGTCACGGTGGCATAGGTTGGGAGTATGTAAGAATCCCTGCATCCTGTGGATCACATTCTGACCCAGGCCCTTTCTCCCTGGGCTCTGTGGGAGTAGCAACCTTCCCCAGCTGGCTTTGCTCAGCGGGTACCAGGGTTTGTGAGAGCAAAGGAGAGCGGGCTGGCAGAGGAGGGGTGATGACTGAGGCCTGAGAGGTGGGACCCGGCTCTTCTGTCCTTGTCTTTGCCTCANGCCAAATTTATCTCCTGTCAGTGGGCTTTCTCTTCCCCTCTTTAGCGCTCAGAACCAGCTCCCCTACCTAGGTTGCCCTAGTCCCATTGCGACAGTTTATCTAGAAGCACCCAGTTGACCCTTGAAGAATGTAGCCAGGACTTGTTTTTGTTTCCCTCATGAGGTTGGGCACTCCTGGGGGGCAGGAGCAGCATTCCACTGCTGCGGCGTCTTCCCCCGACTCCTGTGACCAGGGTGCCAGGGACACAGCCACAAGCAGGAAGGCTGGGTGGAAATCTGAGAACTAACCACCTGCCCCTACTCCCCAACCCAGTGGCTCTTAGTTGAGGTGTCTGTCACAGCATGGGATGTCCTGTGACCACTGTGACTTGTATCACAATTTGTTTCTAATAACAGTTAGAGCACTGAAGTTTGCAAATTCTTCATTTAGTATAAATTAGAGCAGATTTAGGATGAACTCAGCAATGATGCCTTTCACTCTTCTACATTCTGATGGGTTTGGGGAGTGAGCATTTAGAAAGCTGTGCGTCCCATTTGTGAATGTCATGTCACATGTGGCAATATAGTTGACAGTTGCCCTAAAACACATGCATTCTTCTCCTCAAAGACATAGGCACAAGGGGGACCTGGCAAACCTGGGCAGGACCCCCAGTCAGGGTGGGCCAGTTCTAGAATCTTCCTGGGCTCCATATTAGTCCCCTCCCCCTTTCTTGGTTCTGGCTCCTTCCCATTCTCTTGCTTACGATGCCCGTGGGGGTAAAGGGCATGGACGGGAAGGGCCAGCGGGCTGGGAACTTGCCCATGTCAGCAGGGCTTCTTAGGGGTCAAAAGATAATCTGGGCCACTTACATTCTGAGGAGCTCATGGGTGGTTATAAAAGAAAGAAATGCCAAAATTTGTTCTATTTAAAAATGGTTTACATCAGGCCGGCCGGTGGCTCACTCGGGAGAGTGTGGTGCTGATAACACCAAGGCCACGGGTTCGGATCCCATATAGGGATGGCCGGTTAGCTCACTGGGTGAGCGTGGTGCTGACACCACCAAGTCAAGGGTTAAGATCCCCTTACCGGTCATCTTTAAAAAAAAAAAAATGGTTTACATCTATTAAATTAAAGCTTTTTGTACATTACAACGTAGGAGAAGTGTACTATTCACAAGAGAATTGCAAATGTATAAAAATAATTGAATCGGAGTAGCTCCCAGGCAGTGTGGTCTGGTAATGGGACCCAAATGCAGAGTCCCTTTATAGGCCAACATTTCTTTTTTTAAATCCTATCAGTTTCCCTCTGTGACTGTTCGTCTGTCACATGTCGAAAATCTAGGTTGTGAATGTGAGGCCTGGGTCAAATCCTGCTACCCTCAGCTCTCTGCCTAGCTGGCCAC